TATTCTTTTTGATTTACAGAAACTACTATAAGAATTTAAAGCTTATCTGACCTTTTAGGAATGATGTGGTAGCCTAACTGCAGGTGCTAAGTGTCATGGTAGATGTTTGGCTCCAGTTGCTGGCCCCGGTGGTGCAGGTCTCTGATGGCCCAGGTTTTGCAGGACCAGATCTCTCCAGGTGTTCCTGGAGCACTCAGAATGTCACTACATGTTTATCTTCACCACTTGAACTGCAGTGCCTTCTCAAATCCGAATTCCCAGTGCCCAGCAGTACGTGGGGCAAGAACAATGCCATGGTAGTTTCTAGGCAGTTCTCATCAGCTTTTTACTATCAGCATAATTTTTCAGTTGCTTACAAGTGAGGGAGATTTCTTAAGAACATAAGGAAGTAACAGGCTTTAAAAGTGGGCAGAGTAAAACCATGTGGTATTTCAGAGGTATATATAAAGTAATGCTGGCAGTTGTAAAAGGGGAAACAAAACAGGCATTGTTTGTTGTAAAAGGGGAAACTAAACATCAGCATGAGACTTTAGAGGCTGAAATCCTGATGCCCACATTTGCCACATTCTTTGTGCAGAACATGTCCCTTACCTCTCAGGAGCTGTTTGCCTAGAGCTTGTCATTTTCTCTCCTCTGGTGGAATAAAAGGCTTATTAGCTTTGTCTCATCAGCAGGCTAATGTAATCACACAGGCTCTGGACAAGAGCAGGCATGCACTTTGCCAAGTCAGAGGGTAAGTCACTGGCCCAGAGATGGCCACAGGGTGAAACTGGCAGCTGATGGGACTGCAGCTATGTCAGGAAATGGCTCAATCTGCAGTGTGAAAGAAATCCATGGCTCTGAAAGGTCATCCCACACAAGCGGACACTCTGCCGTGACCTTCAGTTAGGCTATGCTTTGTGTCAGCCACACTGAACAATGAGCAGAAATGGCACAACTGTGCTTGCACGCTTGCCAGGATTTCCTGTCTGCCAGCGATCATTGCTTACTTAACCATGAATTAAAACAACTGCCTTTCACCACTTTTTCCTAAATAGTGACAAAAATTATCCAGATGTATCCATTTTTAGTAAAACAGATTAACTGGTTGTACACGATCTTTTCCTACTTAATCTCTCACAGAAGATACAAAAATTATTTATGAAAAGTATGTAACGTCCAAAATTAATTTAATTAATATGCTGTTAATAAAATGATACTGTCACTTATAGATTTTGCTATAGTAAAAATTATATTTACAATAAGAATTATTCAAGCAGATAAGCTCAGTGGGGGAAAAAAAGGACAAAATTCCTAGCATACAGGCTTTGGAAAGGCTTATCCCTTTTGTTCACAAAACCTGACCCCATTAGTTGGTCTGATAAAAGTAATTCTTCCTTCTTCTTCCTTGGTTGTCTCTTTGATATCCTTCAACTGTTGGGGCAACAACATTATTGCAAATTACTATAAAATTACAGAATTTATACTTTTTATTTTATAACATTTAAGAATCCACTCAGTATACTTATTTAAGTGGTGAATGCAGTTTAGAAGGGGGAAAATAATAATTTACATTTTTAAGCATCTTCTAATATAGAAAAGACACTGTCGGTGTGAAAATCTGTAGTGAATGGGAGATGGCTGAGAATGGAAGGAACAATCACGCCACATGTAAGCATGTATGATCTGTTTCCATAGAAAAAGGTCAGAGAGCAACAAATTCTCAGTTTACTTCAGCTGGCTAGGGTAGTAAGTTTCTGGGGGGAAAGCATTGGCCCATTAGCATTAGCCCAGAGCAGCCTCTGGTGGTCTAAGAAAAAATGGTAATATTTATACCTAAGGATAGAAATATGTTTTTTAAAAGGATATAGTACATATTTAGCTATTTTACTCAATCCTCCTTTCAACACATTAAAAACCAGATGCTTTTAAAATGACCTGTCAATATGCTTGTTAAAATCTGAACAGTAAGAGTATTAAAATTCATATGCATTCATTAGCACATTATATAAAAGTAAAGTGCTTGTGTTTAATCATTCCATAAAAGTATTATAGTCAATGCTGATTAACAAAAAGTTTTTTTCCTGGTTTGCATTGCTAAAACTGAAATAAAATTTACAAGAATGTTACCGAATTGATGACATTTTCTGTCTTCACTTGTGAATTCAGTTGGCAGATGTTTTCAAGAACAAAAAAAATCTGTCTTATTACAAAACATATTAAGCAGGTTTTCCTGCCATAATGTTTGACATGATGTTTATTACCCAGACCAAATCAGTTCCTTTAACAAGCCATAATGTATGCCAGAAAGTACATTATTTCATAGTTAAGAAAACTTCCAGCATGAAACAGTAAGTACTTTGATCTTTCAAGAGCACTACGCTTAACACATTACATGCTGCCATAGTCGTTTTTATTTATACTCATTTTGTACAAAAATACAGTGCAGTTTGATATTTTGTATTTCAAGATGCAGCTTTTACATATTCTTGAATACCCCAGCTATTGTTTTTACTATGAAAATAAAGAAAATGCTTAAACACAATTACCAAGGAAGAGCTCTAATTCTCCAGTTCTTGGAAAATTTAGCTGCACAAGTGGGAGCAGCAACCAGACAGCTTTAATTTGTTCAAATGGCATTTCTTCAATAGATCACAACAGATCTCCACAACCCTATGAAAACAGAACTGAGGATATTTATTCCTGCTGCTTAACAGTCTGAAGCAATTTCTCCAGTGTATTTGATGCAATCATATTTTTCCTTCAGTGTGAGCCTTCCTGTGAGGAAATTTTTCTTCTAGTCTATCCATACTTTTTCCTGCTTGGCAAAGCTGACATAAGGCCTGCTTAGGTTTTTCAAAACTCTTTGATGAGATCATTACAAATCATATACCATCTTTAAATATCTCTCTGAGTGATAGCATGTTTTATTTTAAGGGCCTAGTGAGTCAAATGTATGCTATACTATACAGTAAGATTGTATCTGAATTGCCCTTTGAGATCTCCCCAAACCAGCAGCCTGTGGAAGCAAGACCCTGGGTGCAGGCAGAGAGCAATCTTATGGACTCAAGCATGGGAGGTGAGAAAATTGCAAATATGGCATTGCACCTCTTGCAACCACATACAGACTTAGCAGTTCTGACAACAGAGTAAATGGAACCTACTGATGGTCCAGGTTTTTTTCAGAAATTGATAAGCAAGGAAATTGCATTGATTTGTCCTGCAATATGCTAAAGCAGTTATGTTTTTCTTTCTGTTTCAAAAAACTATCTGTACTGGAGCCTACTAAGAAAAAAAAAAAAAAAACCCAAAATAATCATTTTAGAATAAAACACCATGCTCATCAGAAAATTTCAATTAACTGTCCTGAGGAAGGAGACCACCAACCACACTTTCACTGAAATATATACTACTTCTTTCCTTGATTTGAAGAAAATAAAATAAAGCAAACATCAACAGTCATATTTAAAGCATGAAGCTTAGCAGAAAAGAAAATGGGATGGAACAATATTTTATATTTCGGGGGTCAAGCTTCCTGAAACCAAATTTCATGCCTCATCAGGCAAGAGTCATGAGAAGGTAGAATTGCTAAAAAGGTTATGAAAAAAAGGTTCACTTTCAACAAGGGAACACTGAACCTGCATGCTGACTAGACTTCTTTTAAGACAATACAGCAGCACTGTCTACTGGATTCTCATGGACCTTAAGTTAGGACTGGTTGCCCCTCTTAAGAAGAAGGGTTTGGCTAGTGGGCAGAAGAGCATCTTATAAAAAAGCTGCAAACAGGAAAACACGGTGCCTTGTTGGTGATTTTTAATATATGTGTGTGCATATATATATATATATATATATATATATATGCATTCCTTTGTTTCCCATACTTAGGTATTTTTCAAAAGACAGTAAATATTTATGGTATTGACAATCTTGTACCCAAGTTACTAACCCTTCTAACTAGCCAGAACAGCTATATTTCTTCTACAAAAAAATGTTATGCTAAAAAAAAAATTAAGAGGGGCATTTAAAATTTACGATGATTCTAACACGTATCTTGCTGGATTTCTCTCTGTTTCTTACCAGAATGACATACATTTTGATTGTTTTACCTTCACTGTGGAGTTTTTAACGTATTTTACTGTTGAATGAAAATACTAACTTTCATAATAAGGGTTTTCAAAATTCTATGACTCAGTCTGGAATGTATAATGCATAGTATGTATATGAAGCAGAATGTGCCAATGTGCAAATAATATTGTTTGTGCCCCCTGCAGAATTAGAAATCCTCGGGTAGCGCTGTTATAATGATCCCATGCTGGTAGCATTACAAAGTGCAAAGGTTCACTGAGTCAGAAAAGGGCAAGGGACAGAGTTTCTTCATCATACCATTCTCAAATTATACTAGCTTAAATATTTATTAATATATTAGCAAGTTTCCCCCTTTATCTGCCTTCAAAAGTTTAGCTCAAACACAATGGATGGCTGCTCATATAAAAACAACACATTACAGGGTAAATTTGCCACCACACAAGATGAACACTGTTATTTTCCACAATACATTATTAATTTGGCAGGTGATAAAAAAGTATCAGGCTGTAACTACTGCCTCCCCAATATAATACAATATAATACAATAAATGCATACATGACATATGAAGCTAGTATGTCGCCTAAGCTTCACTACAAAGTCTTTCTTATGAATACCTCTGTTTATAAAATGGTTTTTAGAAAGTCTTTCCTAAGTAATTTCTTTCTTGATAACACCAGTGAGTTCCTCTGGGGTTTATTTGAAGTTTCCCTTTGAAATCAGAAAGAAATTTTTTATAACAGTTCCAAAACATCACAATCAATAATGGACCAAAAATACCAATAGAATAAATATCCAGGAACTCTACATAAACTCTTGAATGTCATCTCAGCAATGTATTTGTTTTTAACAAAGCATGGTATTCATTAGCCAATATAGTCAGTAAACATATATATGTATCAATAAAGATGGGCAAACAAAACCGAAAGAAACTTACTCTAATATAGATCTGCATAGTTTCTTTTTCTTTTTGCGGATTTCGATACTTTTCATAGAAGTCACGTCGCTTCTTTGTTTCCTTCTGTATTTTATCTTTTCTTTCTCTCTTTTCTGCAGGTTCGTCTGAGATATCAGAAGATAGCTGTATTTGGGCTTTTGTCTTCTCAACTTCAATATAGTTCTCATTGGGATTCAGAACTATTACTCCATAGCCTTCCTGTTTTAGAAGAGAGTCACACACACACACACAAACAAGAAGAAATGTGTAAAGGGAAATTTAATGCTTGAAAATGCTTTGCATTTACTTTAATGCTCTTTAGAACTTTTTTATTTATTTCAGCAACTTCACACAACATCATTTATAGAAGGATTTTTAAGAATAATCTGTCATTAAAGAGATATTGATGTGTGAATATGTAGCTGTGCATGTACTTATGCTCATACACATCCTTCAGCATCAGAAAAGTTGCCTGTTTTACCTTTAAAATAATTTAATATGTTGTTTTATTCATAAGCACTTTCTGTGACTTTTGCAGAAAACAACACAGGAACTAAAAGCAAAATGTTGCTTTAAGAACTATACATAATAATGAATAAAAAGCTTTATGCTTAGCCAGAAAAAAACCTTTAAAATAAAAAGGACTGAGAGATTTTATATATAAAGATAGATACATTAAAGAAAGCATGTGAAAATTATTCACCACATTTTAAAACAGTAAAACCTTTTGTCTAGCTGACAATAAGCATACTATGCAGAGGCAAATAGCAGCAGTAACAATGAATCAATACCAAAAGCTGATTCAGTGGTGTTGCTTACAAGTCAACTCTTTATGGTGGGCCTGACTTTTTAGTGCATCTTTTAATCTGCTGTAAAAATGCACTGGGATTATATTGTATATTCAACAAATCCAGAGCAAATTTGTGACCTGCAGGATACTTCTGAGCATATAAGGTACATTTTTATGCCTCAGGAAATGAGCTGGATGAAAAAATATGAATTTATGAATGAGAAATAAATCTTGAATAAATCAGCCAATCAAATTTTATTATTTTTAAATGACGGCAAATCAGAAAAAAACCCCATAATATTTGTGGAAGATATAATTGCAAATGAAGGGAAAAAAGAGAAGCACATGCATTTAACAGATGTGTCCCTAAAGTTAACATGGGTTCCCAGTCAAAATCAAGCTATCCTTTAGAAGTAAATTTTAATAATGACTTACTTTTTGGAAATATCTAAATTAATAAACTAATGAAACAGCTTTATTCCAGCTTTTGACTTGGTGTTTCATTTTGCACTTGGTCCAGACACGAGGATCAAATACCTAGCTGCCCAGAGCAAACCAAGTCCACCCCAACAAAAGATACTTTATTTGGGCTTGCTTTATTCTAATCTGTAGAGTCATTCACAAACCTTGTAGCTCATTGTGGCCACTGTTAGGTAGACAGATTGTCACTCAGTGATTTTCTACAGTTGGACACACTCGACTAGTTATCAAAATCACATCTGAAGGGAGTTCCTAACCCTTATCTTTGTGCCCTTCTCCAGTGTCTGCCGTAGCTTCTCTACCCACCAAAAACCATGTTAAAGGGCACAGTTGCACTCTGCTAAACAAGGTGAAATAGAGGCATTCAGGATACTACCTCTGGAATAAGCAATGTAGTCAAAAAAGGTCACAACAGGCCAAAGAGAAAATTGTCTCCTTGTTAGATGCAGCACCATAAGCAGTTTCCTGTCACATGATTCCCTTACCCTGCCTGTCATGAATTCAACTGGGATAAATATAAACAAGCAGACAAAAATATAAATAAACAATAGGGAAAGGGTAAAAGAAAACAGAAATTGAAAGACAAATTTTAAAATCTATTCATATACATCATGCCCGGCCATATTAATGCACAGTACTGTACTGTAAGCACATGAATTTTACAGCTTGGAAAATTTCAAGGCCCAAACTTCATCATGGAGAAGAATGTGGCTTAGAAACATTCCTAAACTGTACATCTCAGATGAAAGGATAGTTTTAGAGCCTGCTACTGCTAGAGCTTTTGCAGTACTTGGCAGGCTGGTAGTTTTGGGGCACTTCATCTTCTTGACCTGCTTGTTTTGATTAGAGATGTTCCGTGTATTGATTTGTTTTGTTTTCTACACCATGAAAAATGCAAAATTCATGTGTTTATTACAGATCTAGAAGTGTTACAGGGATTTGAAACTCTGTGCACTTCAACCTGATCACAAAACAGTCACACAAATCATCAAAGAAGTGGAATTTGTCTAAGTTATTGATTATGTAACTTAAAATTACATGACTCATTTGTCCCATTTTATGAGGACACAATGTCAATTTTTCACATAGACATCAACAGGTGAAATATGATTCTATTTTTAAATTCACTATTTTATAAATCAACTAAAGGATTTTTATTAAATATATTTTAAGCACTGTAACATGACTCCCTTTATATTTTTTTACAATTTCTCCCAGATAGCAGGCCTTTCCTGTCAGCAGAATTAAAATCATGAATTAATATCTGAACTAGGATTTTTTTTTCCCCTCTATTATGGGAAAAGTCTTTCTCTTTGGAAAGTAATCTCTTTTTGGACTGTTTTGCTTACATGATATGGTGTATCTCCCTTTCCCTTGTACTTCTGCATCCTAAATTTAAAGAAGAAAACAATGGTACCAGAACGATTTGAGAGTAATATATAAAAGTCAACATGGAAAACCAAAATTACTGGTAAAACATACTCAATTACAACCTCTCTCATTCAGCCTTTATCTGAGCATTTTCTATTGAAAATAAATACTCTGCTTTAAATAACATCAGTGTAAACAATATGGCTTTTAACATCAATGAATTTTTAAAAATGTAATTTATGCAGGCATAGATATGCCATTAAAGTTTAGTGCAATCAGAAAATTAAAAAAAAAGGTGGAGCTGTAACACAGCGAATTTGAGAAGTGTGCAAGTCAGTGCAAACCTCAGAACACAGCACCACTAACATCTTAAAAAAGCCCTTTAGCAAAATTTAATAACAGACAAGATACAGCCTTTGGCATAAATGCTCAGAAATAACTCTTTGCAGGCAGGATTGTTTTAATCTTTTTTCACCATATACAGTATCTTTATGCTGGAAAGTATGAAATGTGTTATTATTATGTATTACTTTGCTAATTTGTTAATTTCATGCTAGTGCAGCTATACCAAACAAATCAATGTCACTAAAAATACCAATTTCAGCCATGATGAGCTTACATCATTATTAAAACATAGTGACCTATGACTTACTTAAGTACCAATCATCCAGGAGGGTTTCTAAATCTTGCCAGCCCCTGTGGTATTAGGTGGTATGCAAACATTAGGTAATAACAGTAGTTTTCAACATAATAGTAGTTCTCAATGTAATAGTTTTCTCCTGTGTGACCAGCGTGCACAGAAAGAGAAACCACTCTCTAAAAAGTTTTTTCACTGTAAAAAGGTTTAAGGACACTATTCCCCCATCCCCATCAATCTTCAGCCATCAGTGTACCTGTGATAAGACCTTATAATTATGGCAGACACTGACAAATGGAACTCCCAGCCTCTAATCTACAAAATTACAGTTTCTCTCTCAGACTAAAGCACCCAATTAACATCTCTTCCTTTCACGTGGTAATGCTTCAAGGTAAGCAAGATTTATTCTACACTAAAACTCCTACCATTCTCTAGGTTGCTGCTTCTGGAGGTTGAGGATTGTGATGATGAAAGGAAAAGCAGGCTTACTAAATCAAGAGTTGGAAAGAATCACGAACCTCAGTTACAAGACATATACTACTAAAAACAATGCAGAAGGGCTTTTTCCATTGTAATACATGAGCCAAAAATGGGGCAGTACTTTCTGTCTCCTACTGAAGTTCAAGGGGCTAAGCTTAAAAAAGAGCCTCAAAGTATTTGAGGTAAATTCCAAATCTTTTGAAATCTTACCTGACTGGCAAATGACTAGTGAGATGAAACTGTTCAGATCTATTGGATGGATCATACTAATCAATCAGGGTGGATACCACATGGCACAAGAGAGGTCAGAGCCAGAGAAGTATCTTTTGACTTATGTAACTATCTTTTTGGATTGTGAGTGAGGATCTGAAAGAGATAATTTTCCTACACTTGATCAACCTGAATTTTCAAGTTCAGTTTTCTATTTGGATGGTTGGCAGAAAGACCAGAATTAATTCCTTGAGGAAATGCAACTCAAAGCACTCTGCTCTTAAACCTGCCTGTGGTAAAAACAGACACAGCAGTGTCCATTCATCTTTCTCAAAGAAGTATGCTCTGTTCATTTCCCATCTTTACTGTGAGAAGGGTACATCTATGTCACTACTGCGACACTGTAGGTGCAACAGCAGGATGAGGTCATGACAGCCAATCAGAAGTCACTAGTGAAGCGTTAAAGTAAACATAGCTGTTGGAGATGCAGCTCAGCTTGAAAAATGCCCCCTCCATTATTTGAGCAATTTTCTCAAGACGTGACCTGTGACTGAAACGCCTGAAATGTCAGTTGATTCTGCTTTCTGTTTCCACCCAATGTACATTTTGGCAAATGCACCCTGCTAACACTGCGGTATTTCCATCCCAGATATACCTCAGCTGCCCGAATTCCAGCACTGCGTCCAAGTGCGTAAAAATGCCATGCTTCTGCCAAACACACTTTGTCCTGCTAAGTTCCAAACTTAAAACAGCTCATCAGGTTAGGCAGGAAAAGAAAACGTACCACAAAAAGATTTTAGAGGACCACCTGTTGTCTATTATTTTTACATAGCACTTACTCATAAATCATAACACAGGGTAATTAATCAAGCTGTCAAAGAGAAGGTCAAAGGTTATGTGGGCGAGTCAGAAGGTCATGCATGGGCTGATAGAGGTCAGGGTCACACTGCATTCCTCATTATCAAGTTGGGATGAGAGACGGCCCAAGCAAACAAAAGTGAAAGCAGATGGAGAACTGAGTGGATAAAAAAGAGGAGAAAATTTCACAAACAAAAAGAAGTGGAAGAATGTGAGTTACCTTCAAACAAGGAGGAGAACAGAGCAGAAATACACTGAGATGTTCTCAAAAGACAGCACATAATACAAAGAAACTACAGTTTGATTATTTAAATACACTTACTATTACTTTCCATCAAATTTTTTTGCAATTATTAAGCAACACCACAAAATGTGTGTTGTAGATTTGGTTCC